TAAAATCTATTTTTGCTAGTTTCTACACTGCCATTTTCTCATTTAACTAATAGTTATACTCCTAGTTCTGCCTTTATCAGTTAATACTAGTATACTCTTGGTGGTGGTGGTATCATGCAGTTACTAGGTAAGTATAATTTTACATTGTAATTCAAATCACTGACAAATTAGTAACAAGGCAGAATCTCTGGCTGCCCTGAGCAGACCATTAAAGACCAGAGGAAGTGGCTTTAAGAACAAATTTGAAAGGAAAGTGAATTTTATCTATTTTTTACAAAATATATAAAATCAGAGTTTTTGTTATTTGTCACCTAAAGAATGAGGAAGAATTTATTACAATTTAGGGAAAGGAATGAGCAGGTTTTTTTTTTTTTTTTTTTGAGTTGGAATCTTGCTCTGTTGCCCAGGCTGGAGTGCAGTGGTATGATCTCAGCTCACTGCAGCCTCCACCTCTCAGGTTCAAGCAGTCTTCCTGCCTCAGCTCCCCTAGTAGCTGGGATTACAGGCACCATGCCTGGCTAATTTTTGTATTTTTAGGGAGATAGGGTTTCGCCATGTTGGCCAGGCTGGTCTCAAACGCCTGACCTCATGATCCACCTGCCTCAGCCTCCCAGAGTGCTGGAATTACAGGTATGAGCAGTTTTTTAAGACAGACGAGTCTAGTTTGTATGCAAAAACCTGGAGGGAAGAGATGGTTATAGACACTTTGAAAACTCTCAGGAGTTCGTTGTGGCAAAGTTAAAGAATAAAATACCAGTAAGATACTCTGGACAGAGAGAAATGAAGCTGGAAAAGTAAATAGGTGCTCAGAGTGTTCACAGCCTAGTTCTCGCAGTGTGATCTTGAAAAATCACTTAACCTCCTCCACATTGTTTTCTTATTGGTTGGTAAGAGGATACACTGGGTTGAGTGCAGTGGTTCACACTTAGCACTTTGAGAGACTGAGGCCAGAGAATTGCTTGAGTGTAGGAGTCTGAGACCAGCTTGAGCAACATAGTGAGACGTCTCTACTAAAAAATAAAAAAAAATTAGCCGGCTGTGATGATGCATGCCTGTAGTTTCAGCTACTTGGGAGGCTGAGGCAGGACGATCCCTTTAGCCTCAGGAGTTCGAGGTTGCAGTGAGCTGTGATCGTGCCACTGCACTCCAGCCTGGCCAGTGGAGCAAGACCCTGTCTGGAGAAAAGAAAAGAGAATAAAATGAAACCTGCCTTGTCATGGCAGTAGAGGTAAAGTGGATCACTCCTAGCTCCTTACATACAAGGATCTGAAAACATATTTACAAGTAATTTTAAATACTCTTGATCTGGTGAAAAATTTGTGACTGGACAGTAGAATAAAGAGTTGACTAAAGATTTTTTGACAACCAAATATTAGAATTTATCAATGATTTTTCTCAATTGGCCAACATTTTAGAGGCAGTGGAAAATTTGTTGAGTTAATCAGTCAGAGGGTTTTTTTTGGTTGCTTTATTACCCAATATGTAAGTTAGAAAAGCCAGAAGACTGATGTTAGAGGTTATGAAACTTTCGGTCCTGCTTGATGTCAATGGGATGCTTCTAATTCAGTGTATAGGGATGGTTTTGCAAATGCATATATAGATATTTATCTTTGTGAGTAGTCTGGAAACATTTTTTTGGTATATTTTAAAGACCATCATTTTGGGTTTTCTCCCAGTTTTGTAAATTTAAATAGAATACATATGTGTATGAGTTCTATAGATTTGTAACTTACAACTACATATAATTATTGCAAAACTAATGAATTTAAAACATACTAGAAAATAAAAAGCTGGAGTCACACCACCCAAGCTAACTGCTAACATTTTAGAAAATTTCCTTCCTATCTTTCTGTATTTGCATATGATCATTTCAAACACAGGTTTGTTTTTTTCATTGCAAAAGTAGGACATTTTAATGTGTGGTTTTTTTTTTTGAAAAAGTGAGAGGTGAAAGTTGAAGACCCTCTTCTCTACCATTTCTCCACTTCCCAGAGGTAGTCTTTATAACTGCTTTTATTTTTATTCATATAGCTTTTGGTGAGACTGACTTATGGCAATCTGGATTCAGGATGTAACTAATATGTTTAATAGACATTAGTTGCATTGAACTTCTTTATATCTGTCTCATTTAATTGTTGATATGAGTAAACAGTTAAAAAGCATGATTTCTGTAAAAATTTCATCAAGTTGTGATTTTATCTACAGTGGAGTCATTCGTTGTGTCCTCAGTTTGATACTAATTGGTGTTACTACAGTTGCTGCCTTTGGTTTCTAGTACTCTTTGTACTTGCTAGCTTTGGCTGACATGGTGTAGATTTGCAGTGAACTGATTTACAGTACTTACTGATTTTGTCCAGACTTTTCACTAAAATATTCTGTGACTTTTAGTTTGCAGCACAGGCGTTAAATTACTCTGTTGTATGTACCATCTTGTTTTATAACTTTATAAAAGGATGACTTTGGGCGTATATAAAATTAACAAATAAATTTAAGTTCTATTATCAGTGTTCCTGATGTTTTCCCTTAAAAGGCATATTTCAGTAGTATTCAGATTTGATTAAGTGAATGCCAGGTTTTAGATTAAGAGCCAAATGTATCTTTTCTACCTCTTTTCTTCATTGTACACAGGCTTTCACTGATGTATATACACATACAGTTGGCTAGGTTATCCACTAAAGTAGGGATGTAATCATTAGTCAGTTCTAGAAAGGTAACTTGGGTGTCTGTGATTCAGCCATGTATAGTGCCAGGCAATGGGATTAAAAACATTGAATGAGACAGTTTTTTTCCTTAACTTTGCAGTTAATTTTTATCCTTTTTGGTTTTTAGATAGAATTGAATACTGAAAAAGTATAGACTGGGAAGTTTGGAGGAAGTGGAAAAGGGAGCAGGAAGTGGTTTGGAGTGCTTTAGTGAACTATAAATAGAATCAAGTGAAGAATGGATATAATGTCGAGGAGCCCTTTGATCTCCTCAGCCCCGGACTCTTTTTTTTTTTTTTTTTGAGATGGAGTCTCGCTCTTGTTACCCAGGCTGGAGTGCAATGGCGCGATCTCGGCTCACCGCAACCTCCACCTCCTGGGTTCAGGCAATTCTCCTGCCTCAGCCTCCTGAGTAGCTGGGATTACAGGCACATGCCACCATGCCCAGCTAATTTTTTGTATTTTTAGTAGAGACGCGGTTCACTATGTTGACCAGGATGGTCTCGATTTCTTGTGATCCACCTGCCTCGGCCTCCCAAAGTGCTGGGATTACAGGCTTGAGCCACTGCGCCCGGCCAGCCCCGGACTCTTATAGGGCATGTGACTTGATGCAAGAATGAAGCTAATCTATACTGAGCACATTCTTCTAAGAAAGTTTTTATAAATCAGTACATTTCTTATTAAGGACACTTAGGACCTTATGTTTGACCATTGATATTATTGGCAAGTAGGTTATCTTCTAAAAGCAGAGAAATGAAGGGATAAGGACAGTTGCCCTTTAAACAGAAGGTCTTGTTTTGCAAAACTCAAATGTGTGTGAGATGAATAACACTGTTCCTATAACACATCATGGCTTCCATTGGTTTTACAAGACCTCATTTGATGATCTAAGTACATGTGATCATTCTTCAGGGAGAAATGCCTATGGCACCTTTTTGTTTGTTTTTAGTTTTAAAATTTCAGATGTTACATCAGCAAATACCGTAATGTGTTCCTGAGGTAAGATATAATGATGTATTTTTAATGCGATTTTTGTTTATTCCTTTTTTCTATCATCTAAAACTTAATTTGTAATGATATATTTTTAAAAATCAGCTTCCTTCAATATAAACAGTTACTAATTTATTGTGAGAATGACATTCTCATTTTTTTCTGTACGTGATAGATTAAGGTCTGACATTTTATTTTCCTGTGACATCTTAGGAATTGTAAAAAAAAAAAAGCACTAATCGTTTGTTACAGTTATTTTGCTAGATATAAGACAGGCAATGAAGTTAGGTAGGTTTCATTACATAGTAGAGGTCAGGAAGCCAGTAGTTTACTTCCTATATTAAGCATTTTCTGTGGTCCACACAATGCATTAGATGTATTTTTGGCTTATATTTCTCTTTGGTCATTGATACAATTCACAGCTATCAATCAATCTTTAAACCTCAGACATCATTTTTGGTAAATAGGATAAACTATGCTGATTTCCTAATAAAATATTTCTTTATTTACTATAATGTAAATGCCTCTCCTTAAAAACCAAGTGCTGGAAATGAGTTTAAGCTATCAACCAAGCCAAGTTGTATATATTTGATGAAGTCCAGGCTTATTAAATTTAGTTCCAAAGAAATGGAGTTTGAAAAAAGAGGTTGTATTTCACATGTTATGAATTTTAAATGTTTGTTATGTGCTATAAATAAATTGCTGTTGGCCAGGTGCAGTGGCTCACGCCTGTAATCCTAGCACTTTGGGAGGCCAAGGCGGGCAGATCATGAGGTCAGGAGATCTAGACCACGCTGGCCATGGTCAAACCTCATCTCTACTAAAATACAAAATATTAGCCAGGCACAGTGGCATGCGCCTGTAGTCTCAGCTACTCAGGAGGCTGAGGCAGGAGAATCACTTGAATCCGGGAGACCGAGTTTGCAGTGAGCTGAGATTGTGCCACTGCACTCCAGACTGGCGAAAGAGCAAGACTCCATCTCAAAAAACTAACTAAATAAATAAATTGCTATCTTTTCTCACCCTATTCATAGAAAATCTGCTTTACTACATTCTTTTCCCCCTAGTTTTATTAAAGTATAATTGACAAAAATTGCACATATTTATGGTATTTGTGATGTTTTGATATATGCTGCTTTACTGCATTCCTACTGAACATCAGTTACATTTGTATTTTATCCCCTTATATGTATTAGATACACAGTACCTATTTGCTGATCATTTCCCTTTTAACACTATATATAGTATACTAGTTTTCTTTTACCAACTAATGTTCCACTATTTTTTTTTCTTTCTTTCTTTTACCAGTTTCTCAGACAATTAGGTCTGCATCCTAACTGGCAGTTCGTCGATGTATATGGAATGGATCCTGAACTCCTTAGCATGGTACCAAGACCAGTCTGTGCAGTATTACTTCTCTTTCCTATTACAGAAAAGGTAATTGTTAAGTAAAATAGAAAGTTTCTGGTAAATACAATTTTTGTTTTATTTTATCATATATTTTGAGGCAGGTTCTCACTCCGTTGCCTAGGCTAGAGTGCAGATGTGTGATCATGGCTCACTGCAGCCTCAACCTCCCAGGCTCAAGCAATCCTGTCACCTTAGCCTCTTGAGTAGCTGGGACTACAGGCATGTTCTGCTACACCTAGCTAATGCTTTTATTTCATTTTATTTATTATTAGTATTTTTTGAGACGGAGTTTCGCTATTGTTACCCAGACTGGAGTGCAATGGCATGATCTCGGCTCACCGCAACCTCTGCCTTCTGGGTTCAAGAAATTCTCCTGCCTCAGCCTCCTGAGTAGCTGGGACTAAAGGCGCGCACCACCATGCCCAGCTAATTTTTGTGTTTTTAGTAGAGACGGGGTTTCACCTTGTTGACCAGGATGGTCTCAATCTCTTGACCTCGTGATCCACCCGCCTTGGTCTCCCAAAGTGCTGGGATTAAAGGCGTCAGCCACTGCGCCCGGCCTTATTTTATTTTTGTACAGACAGGGTCTCACTATGTTGCCCAGAATGGTCTCCAACTCATGGGTTCAAGTGATCCTCCCGCATCTGTCTCCCAAAATGCTAGGCTTATAGGCATGAGCCTCTGTGCCCAGCCCAATTTCTTTCTTTTTTTTGATTTACAAAATTTTTGTTAAATATAATCTTCAAGAGTAAATGATCTCCTCCTTGCATAAAACTAGGTAATCTAGGCAGTGAAGAAATCTTAAAAATGTTTTTATTAAAGAGATAGTATTTAGATTTTGATGACAGTAAAGTCCTAGGTTAGTGCTTTAAGCTTGGGTAGTTTTCTTCTTTCATAAAATTTGGTTAGGTTGCCTCAGCTGAGTTTTAATGTCACATGTAATCATATTTTGACTTACATATTTTAGATATTTTGAGTACTAGCATAAACTTAAATACAGTTTTTTTCTATATATATATATAAAAGGAATATCCTTTGCTTATTTTAAGTTGGTAGGGGAAACTGATAATGAGGGTTACTTTATTTTCAAAATAAACTTGATTCGAGTGGGAATCACTAACCTTAAATAAATTTAACTGGTAGATTTAGGGTGTGTTTGGGATTATAAATACCTATTCTTTGAGCTCTGTATTTAAATTCAAGTCTCCATATTTTAGTCTTTTCTTCTAGAATGATGTGTGTGTATGTTTCTGTGTGTAGGCATATATATGTATATATATGTAAATGTACACACACACAAACACACACACACACACACACACACACACACACACATACATGTGTATAGTGGAGCCAGAACTTTTAAGTGCATTTTATAACAGATTTTGAGGCTATATTATTCTGATTTTTATTTTTAAAATTAGAAAGAGTAGGATGATTTTAGTAGTTACGAAAAATGAAGAAGTAAGTGTTTGGGAAGATGTGAGAGAAATATGTTGATGATTTGGCATATTTGTGTTTAGGTCATCCTATTCTTCAGGACTAACTGGAGCCAAATCCCACAGGATTTAAGACTTAGACTTTGCTTACTCCTGGAAATTCCTGGATCATTTCCTTTATGCCATAACAAATTCGCCTCAATTCAAGATAAATTAAATAACATTGAAATTTTTCTCTCTTCTACTTAAGTGTTCTACAAAACAAATTATTTAATAAGAGCAATATATTTCTCTGTCTTTGCTAAATTTGGAGTTGGGAAATTCTTAGTGATTGTCTAATATTAGACCAAACCCCTTCACAATAGTAAGGTTATGATTATTGATATTTGTAGGAGTTAAGACAAAAACTTAAGTTTACTCTCTTTTCATCCAATGTTATTTTTGCCTTTTATTGATTACAAAAATAAGCCAACAGATAACTATCCCAGGACCCCTATTGTGATGAACAGTGAAGAACTGAAAAAAAATCAGTTGCCTAAAGCTTAGGGTTTCTTAGCTGATGGGAGTTTTTTGTCTGAATTGGAAATTTCCAAACCATTGATTTTTATGACTTTTTATTTGTGAAAAAGAAAATAGATTTGATCGCTTCCATCTAGTGAGGCATCAGTATTAAAAAAGCATATTATCCTTATTAATAGGATTTAATTTAGTAGATTATCAGAGCTAAAAACTTGTCCCTATTGAAAGGAAGAACTAGTTCTAAAGTATTTTTGTAAGTTTGTACTTACATAAATAGAAAATTTATGTAAGTAAATATAAATACTTAATATAACTATTTATAATAATATATAAGTAGAGAATACAAATAGTGTGTACCACTTTTAAATATCTGTTACAGTTTGGTAGATCCCTATTTCAGCTTATAGGTGGTGTATGGCAAAATCATCAAGAGGATAGCTAGTGCATTCTTTAGGAGCTGCAAAGTGTTTGTCTTTGAATTTCTAATTTAAAAATTGAATATGTAGTTGTGAATGACTTAAGCATACTAATAGCAAAGGAACAGTCATGGGCACCTCATTATCCTGTATGTATGTATGTATGTATTTACTTATTTTTTGAGGCAGAGTCTCACTCTGTTGCCCAGGCTAGAGTGCAGTGGTGCCATCTCGGCTCACTGCAGTCCCCGCCTCCTAGGTTCAAGTGATTCTCCTGCCTCAGCCTCTGGAGTAGTTAGGATTACAGGCATGTGCCACCATACCTGGCTAATTTTTTGTATTTTTAGTAGAGAGGGGGTTTCACCATGTTGGTCAGATCGAGTTTCACTATGTTGGTCAGCCTGGTCTCCAACTTCTGACCTTGAATGATCCCCTGCCTTGGCCTTCAAAAGTGTTGGGATTATGGGTGTGACTCATTACCCTTTAAATCAATCATGGTGGGTTTTTAAAAATAAATGTTATTGTGTGTACTTGAAGTGTACAACATGATATAGGATTCATATACATAGTAAAATAGTTACAATACTGAAGCAGATTGACATCTATCGTCACATAGTTCCTCTTTTTGTGACAAGAGCAGCTAAAATCTATTTAACAAAAATCTCTAATGCAATATAGTTTTATTAACTTTAGTCTTCATGTTGTACATAATTTCTAGACTTGTTACATGTTTATCCTACGTATCTGCTATTATGTGTCCTTTGACCTACATCACATCACCTCCCTGCTAACCACTGTTTCATTCTCTGTCTCTGTGTATTTGAGCTTTAGAAAAAAATTCCATGTTATCAGTGATACTATGCAATATTTTTCTTTCTGTGTCTGAGTTGTTTCACTTAGTATAATGTCATTCAGGTTTATCCATGTAGCAGATGTTAGGATCTCCTTTTTTTAAGGCTGAATAATATTGAGAGAGAGAGAGAGAGAGAGAGAGAGAGTATGTGTGTGTGTGTGTGTGTCTGTCTGTATCTATGTCACTTTTTCTTCCAACCAAGTTCTAACGAGGTCTGACCCTGCTTAACTTCTGAAATCAGATGGGATCAGGCACATTCAGGGTAGTATGGCTGTAGTATACCATGTTTTTATCCATTTAGCCATCTATGGACATTTGGGTTTTTCCATATCTTGGCTGTTATTTTCACAAGGTAGAGATTCATCTCCTTTACAAAGTGATTCGTCTTCTTTGGCTATGAATTGTTGGGTCATATGGTAGTCTATTGTTAATTTCTTTAGAAATCTCCATACTGTTTTTCATAATGGCTGTACCAATCTGCATTTCCACCAACAGTGCACTTGGGTTCCCTTTTCCCCACACCCTTGCTAGCATTTATTATCTCTTTTTGAAAATTGCCATCAATGATAATGTTCTTTGTTGTTGTTGTTTGAGACAGAGTCTTGCTCTGTTGCCAGGACTTGAGTGCAGTGGTGCAATTTCAACTCACTGCAACTTTTGCCTCCCTGGTTCAAGTGATTCTCATGGCTCAGCGCTTAGAGTAGCTGAGATGCATGTGCCACCAATCCCGGCTAGTTTATGTATTTTTAGTAGAAACAGAGTTTCTCCATGTTAGCCTGGCTGCTCTTGAACGCCTGACCTCAGATGATCCACCTCCCTTGGCCTCCCAAAGTGCTGAGATGATAGGTGTGAGCTACCTCACTCAGCCAGTGATAGTGTTTTGAATGTGTTCCTTGTGATAGTGCGGTCCAGCCAGTAAATCATAGGCAAAGGGGCTACAGATTTATTGCTCTCTGGTATTTACATCTCTTGGCCTTATTTTATTTTATATTTTGGTCTACCATAATTTCTTTTTTTCCTTTACTCGCTTTGAGTCATTTTAGGAATTTTTCCTACACATTAAATCTTGAAATCATCAAATCTTATTTTGCTTTGTCAACAGAAACATTAACAACAGATTGAACTATGGAACTGTAAACTTTCAGCCTAAGACCTTAATATACTGAACCTTTCCAGTTTTTTATCAGTCAAACTTACATGAATAATGTCCATTTATTCTGAAAACGTTATTTAAAATTTAATTTAGAAACACAAATTCATATTTTGAGCATAGATACATTTGTTGTTAGAAGCAGTTTATTATTTTTTTCTCCTTAGGCAAGAGAGTTTAAACTGCTTAAAGAAGCAGTTTCTTAACTAATTGTAGGTTCTCTATAGAAATCATTTGTTTCTTTTATGTCAGGGGATCAGGAAAATGTTTCTGTAAAGGGACAGATAGTATATATTTTCAGCTTTGCAGGCCTTCAAATCTCTGTTGCAATTATTTGACTTTGCCTTGTAAACAGCTGTAGACAATACATTAATGAAATTTTACTTATGAAAAGAGGCAGTGGGCCAGATTTGGCCTGTAGGTTGTCATTTGCTGACCCTACTCTATTGGAAACAGAAAGTTATGGGAAAACTCTGAACCAAACAATGTTAACCATCTTTCTCCTCCCCACCTCACCCATTTTTTTTTAACTTTTTTGCCATTTTTAACTCTTTCTTACTATTAGAAAACTAAAATACAGAGACATTAAGTAATTTGCTAAAGTCACACAGCTAATAACATCTGAGCCAGTGATGCTTATTATTGTACCCTATTGCTTTTATAACCAGTTATTATAGATAATGGTTAATGTCTGTTATGGACTATATGATGTGAATTTTATTAATATGGTATGATTTTCCAAAAGGAAAAATATTTTTGCCAATGATAAACCATATAGAAATGTACACATGTAAAAATTAGCAAGTAAAAGTTCTCCAGTAATCTCTTGTCCAAAAGATAACCTCTATTAAGTTTCTGCATACCCCTTCAGACTTTCTAATATGTATATACGTATTTTAAAAACATAAATGGGAATTGTTGTTAATACACACTGACCTATAACCATGCTTAGCCATGGACAGAGTTCTGAATCAGAATATGTAAATCTACAATGCTTTATAGTATTCTATTACAATATGCTGTAATACATGTTAACCAAATCTCCATTGATGGTTATTTATAATTTTTCCAGTTTTGTGCTCTTAGAACTATATATATCATTTTAAGGATTATGTTTTAGACTAATCTCCTATAAAGGAAATTGCTTATTCAAGTGTATGATCATTTAAAATGTTAATACATGTTAGCATATGCCCTCTCATGGGGTTGTACAAATATACGCTTTTAATAATGGCAGAGGAGAGGCCTTTTTGCCCATACCTTCACCATCACTGGCTACTGCTATTCATTTTTCAGTCTTTTGTCACTTTGGTAGGTGATAAATTATATTTTAAACTCTTTCCTTTATAAAAATAATTTTTATTATTTGCATCTTTTCTTTTACAGACTGAGGTTTTTAACATGTTATTTTCCACATGTACACTATTGACTTTTTTTTAATAGTATGAAGTATTCAGAACAGAAGAGGAAGAAAAAATAAAATCTCAGGGACAAGATGTTACATCATCAGTATATTTCATGAAGCAAACAATCAGCAATGCCTGTGGAACAATTGGACTAATTCATGCTATTGCAAACAATAAAGACAAGATGCACTTTGGTAAATGATTTTTCATTACTGCGTTTTCCCCCCCTTAAGATGTAAGTTGATTTCATTGAGCAGTAGGTGGTGCTCTAATTCTTTCTTTCAAACTGTAAAATAAAGCATTTCCCCCTTCTTTTATGATGGTAATATATATACTGTTAGAAGAAATGTTAATCCTTCTCATTCTTTTATATTGTTGACTAATAGAGGTTAAGCAAATGGACAAATATTAATAATGTGAGGCTTATCATTTATAACAAGATTCTTATATTTCTAACTTACCAGTGAAAGGATTTTACCTGAAAAATAGTAGCATACTTCTAGTGTTTTCATTATTGGTCTCTCTGCTATATCAAGCCTTTTAAATTTCATCTTCTTTCCTATTTTCAGAATCTGGATCAACCTTGAAAAAGTTCCTGGAGGAATCTGTGTCAATGAGCCCCGAAGAACGAGCCAGATACCTGGAGAACTATGACGTCGGTACCTTCTTTGTGTTTTGATCTCATGTGGGCAAAGTTTTGTGGGATTGTAGATGTATTTGGGGGTTTTTGTCTTGAAACCATAGTTTTGAGCAGTAACGGATTTTATTGTATCCGTTAATACTTTTTAGATAACTTCATCTGAAATATCCATAAATGCTGATAAATTGCCACTTCTTTTCTATGTTCAGAGCTGACTGAATGGATAAAAACAGTTTGATTGAGAATTTTTTTTTCTGACATGGAGTCTTGCTCTGCTGCCCAGGCTGGAGTGCAGTGGTGCCCTCTCCGCTCACTGCAACCTCTGCCTCTAAGTTCAAGCAATTTTGCTTTAGCCTCACGAGTAGCTAGGATTTCAGGCGCATGCCACCATGCCTGGCTAATTTTTGTATTTTTAGTAGAGATGGGGTTTTGCCTTATTGGCCAGGCTGGTCTCAAACTCCTGGCCTCAAGCAGTCCCTCCACCTCAGCCTCCCAGAGTGCTGGGATTACAGACATGAGCTGCCATACCCATGACTGACTATTCCTTACCATTCCCTCCATAAAATAAATATATGGCTGGCAGTACCCTATGTATCTTTCGTTGGGAATTTGGAAGAAGGCTGAAAATGAAAGGAGAATGCAAAGGTTTAAGGGTAGATGTTGGACCATACTGTAGCTATTTTATCAGTGTAATGACCAGCCACATAAACTAGGTTTTATATATAATATAGGTTATATTTAATGCAGGTGGTAATGATTGTACCACTTCATATAACTGTTCAGAAATTGTTTTTAAAATTTATTATTTTTAGAATCAATTTTTCTTTTGAAATCTTTTTACCTTTTAATAACATTATTAAATAGATTATAAGTTCTTTGAAATTAGGTATATAGTCTACAAATTATTTGGCTAGAACAATACCTTATGTAAAGTTTGTGCCTGATAAGTTAATTGGTTTGATTATGTTAAGCATTCCTGTTTTTAAATTGTTTTTTTCTTTAAAAAAAAAACTGGAGACTTCATAAGACATTTTTATTATACATAAAAATAAACAACATGAAAATCAGTAATCTTACTAATAAAAGGTAGATAAACATTAATATTTTTATAGGGAGTGTATATGTATATACACAGTTTTTTAAACAAAAATTTGATCACACTGTAATACTGTTTTATAACTTGCTTTTTTCACTTATCACAAACGTATTACATACCAGTAAGTATATATTTGATATTATTTAATGGCTGCATAGCTTTCCATGATATAATATTGTATTTCAACAATAAATTAGGTGTTAGAAATTCAATAGTTTTTCACTATTTAATAAATATTGCAAAGTACATCTTTATAAATGTCCTTAATTATATAAAATTATGTATAATCATATGTAAATATACAAACTACTAGAAGATAAATTGCTGGATAAAATAGTTTGCATGTTTTTAAGGCTTGGATATGTATTTATTGCCAGTTGCTATTCATAAAGGTTGTACTTTCACCTGTAATTTACTATTGTGCCCATTTCTCTGCATCTTTGCAAATGGTACTGTAAGAGTGGTTTGTTTTTTAGTTCAGGAAACTAAATTCTGTAGCTTCTGATAAATGCATGAGTTGTGCTCCACATTTCTAAATTGCTGACTGAAACTGCATGATTAAGCATAAATACAGCCAGAGCTGCAGAGGAGCATGGAATTGGGAGAAACAGATGAGATAAGCTTCTTTAGTCTCTATCTGTGAAATGCTTACTTTATTCTAGTCTCAATCGAATAAAGTGTTAAGTGTTAGTTCTAACAACTGAATAAGTTAAATGGCCCTTACTTATAGCCTGGAAATTACAAATAATCAGATATTCAGTTTCCTTAGTCTTTAGAGATTTGCAAGTTACACAGTACAGCAATTCATTTGATTACCCAGATATCATAAGCTGTTCTTAAATTTCCTTCAATTTGATGTTTCTTTAAAAGACTTTAGATTTTAAATTTTAGCTTTGTTGTTGTTTTCATTTAAAAAGTTGGGTATGGTCATTTTTTCCAGTGAATACCTTTTTCTTATTACAGGCCATCCGAGTTACTCATGAGACCAGTGCCCATGAAGGTCAGACTGAGGTATTTCACATTTTTTCTAAATTTTTCTTGCTCTGTGTAAATTTAATGGTTGTGTTATTGTAGGACATAGAGTTTTAGAAAGTTACCTGACCTTTTATTTTTTCCTTTGAAAGAGAATTTCCTTAAGCAAAAGCAGTCATAAAGCAGCAAAAGAACATGTTTTGACAAGCTGTTAAGATGCTGCTGTCTGCTGTTTCAGTTCATCTAATCATTTAGACAGATTGCAGGTAGTGTGCTGTTTGTGTGGCTACTCGGTGGCTTGTTTTCCCTATCAGATTCCTTTGATTTCCAAGTATGTTGAGAAAAATCCCTGCACTATTGTACAGTTAGAGAGCCTGTGTCTTTCTCATGCCCTGCTTCCAGCAGAAAGCCATATCATTTTCTTTGCTCCGTAAACTTGTTCTAGGGTCACATAATGATCTTTACTATCTTTACCCTGTTAGCCAGTTCAGCTGGGTGGCTTTTTCTTTCCTTCTCGTCTCTTTTTTCATTTATTGGTTTCATTTTCCTTCCATCTTTCCTTTCTTTCCTTCCCTCAAGCCCTGACTGATTCACTCTAAGAGGAAGTTTCTCAGAAGGTATTTTAGTCAAAAAGAATTTAACTAAAGCTGTTTGGTATATTTATAGCACATTTAAGGGTTAATACCAGAGAATTAGAGGCTTTCTTCTTTCTTATCCCATATGTGACTTGAAACCACAGTTTTTCATGTAAAAGATGACATTGCCTTTATACTTAAAAAAAAAAAACTTGAAAAAAATACTTGATTTAAAAATCTTGGATTTTAGCTGAGCATGCTGGCTTATACCTGTGCAATCCCAATGCTTTGGGAAGTTATAGCACGTGGATCATTTGAGGCCAGGAGTTTGAGACCAGGCTGGGCAACATAGCAAGACTCTTGTCTCTACAGAAAGTAATAAAAATTAGCCAGGTGTGGTGCTGCACACACCTGTAGCACCAGCTACTAGGGAGACTGAGATGGGAAGATTACTTGAGCTTCGGAGTTTGAGGTTATAGTGAGCTATGATTGCACCATTGCACTCCAGCATGGGGGACACAGCAAGCCCGTCTCTCTCTCTGTATAGGTTGCTCTTAGGTGCTGCTTTCAAAGGTGTAGATTATTGTTTTTCACCATGTTTATGCATACACAAACACAGAAGAGACCTGTTGAAATGTTTTTAACAGCAGATTGGAAATTAATGAAATGCTGTTTCGTATTGCTTTTTGTGATCCTGAACATACTCATAACCTTCACTATGCTTTGCTTTTTCGTTTGCAAATTTATCATGTTAAAGTTAGTGATGATGAGGATCAGCATAAGTTTATTGTAAGATACAAAGACAGTTACTTGTAATAAAGCAATTAAATGCCTTAACAGATGTTTACTACAAAAAATACTTAATTTTGCCATACTTCTCTTGCCCACCTTTTGGAGCTTCATCCAAACTATGGATTTACATTTATACTTCTTTTTAAATGATCTTCATGTCTGTTTTTTCAGACCTAACCTACTTCATTCCTTCCAGTCTCAGATGCCTGTTAGACGTCATCTGAATGACCCACTGATTTTAGAAAGCATTTTTCTTTGTTTGAGCTTATTATCTGTATCTTAAACTTTTTCTTCCCTTTATTATTTCTGTTTCTTATAATAGTTCCACCATACGTTTTCCTGCAGTAACTAATCTAATAAAAATTCATTAATTTCTGGTTTAGAAGATCTGCTTCTTATGCAGATTCTCACTCTTTATTCCATTTCTCATCCATTTTTACACAGTTCTTCTGGATTCCCTTTTCTGAAATGTACCTGAATCAGGTGGCTGCTAAAATTTTTCTAGAGGTTTCCTAATGTATAGAGCAGTAATTCTCAAGGCGGAGATAGAAGTTAGGATTTTCTGGAGTACACTGCTGTGTACTCCCATCAGAATTAATCTTTTCTGTTCCTTTCCCATCTCCCACAGTTTAGAATCACTACTAGAATGAACCATATTTTTGATGTATGTTATAACACTAAAATGTGTAGGAGTTAAAAAAGTTTTTGCGAATGATTCCTCAAGCTGTGCAATCAATTTCAGGCCCTTTAACCCTTGTGTGTCTGTCTTATTTTTTTTTTCTATTTTAACTTGTCTTTCTAACTTTAAGTATTTCTTTTTAGCCAGCCCTTACTTCCTTATTTTGTTATTGCTGTTCTTCTTGCAGTACTCCCTTACTGAAAATATTCTTTCCCTCAATCTCTTCCACTTCCTACTTCTATCCATTCTTCAAGACTCAGCTTAATATGATCTTCAACATGAAGCAGTTCCTGATGATCGGACCTGCTTATATTTTATCCTTTATATGAACTCTATATGACTACTCTAACTATTTACATTTTAACTATTTCATATTCTCTTTCATTTTTTAAGATGTGCATTTTTTTCACATTTTAAAAACTCTGAAGTTAAGATGTGGCTTACAATTGATAGCACAGTTTACCTGGCGTTATTCCCAACTTAGTGCTTCATAAAATGGTGTGTCATGTAACCAATGGTGCCTTAGTTTGATGAAGTATGGTATCATATCTCCTTTTCTGGGGCCCTTAGGCCTAGGATTGGCAACTGATTCATTTGCGCATTTCCGAATTATCCAATACTGTTACACACAAGTACTACACATGTGTATTAATTAAACAGAAATAGCCCAGAACTGTCCTTGGTAGTGTAAGAAATAATAATTTTTAAAAAAAAAAGAAGGGGGAGGGGGGCAAACCTTAGTTTTCTGTAGTCCCTTAGGTAAATGAAACTTATCTATTAGCAATTGTTTCCAAATAGGCCAGTGTTAACATTTTGGAAGGGTTCAGTTCTTTTTTGTGTTGGACTGTTCTGTGCACTTCAGGGTGGAATATAGTGACCTCTAGTTGCTGTATGTTAGTGTCTCCCGGTCACTGAGAGAACAAAAACCTGCACCATATATTTTTCTGATCATCTCATCTAAGATTCATCTTCTGGCTGGGCGTGGTGGCTCACACCTGTAATCCCAGCACTTTTGGAGGGTGAGGTAGGCAGATAACCTGAAGTCAGGAGCTTGAGACCAACCTGGCCGACATGGTGAAACCCCATCTCTATTAAAAACACAAAAATCAGCCAGATGTGGTGGCATGTGCCTGTAATCCCAGCTACTCAGGAGGCTCAGACAGGAGAATCGCTTGAACTTGGGAGGCAGAGGTTGCAGTGAGCTGAGATTCCACCACTGAACTCAGGCTGGGTGACAAAAGTGAGACTCTGTCTCAAAAAAAAAAAGATTCATCTCCCATCTATGGGCTGAAGAGTCTTCAGTGTATGGTTATGTCTACTGTTGTTTGTATTCCAGCCCACTGATTTTTTGTCAGTTCCTACAAAGTACCTAGGTCTTTCCTGTCTGTATTAGTCTGCTTGGGTAGTTATCACACATTATTACCAGGTAGCTTTAACAACAGAAATTTATGATCTCACAGTTCTTGATGCTAGAAATCCAAGCAAAGTGTCAGCAGGGTGGTCTCCTACTGAGATGTCCCTTCCTGGCTTGTAGACTACCACTTGCTCAGTGTAGCCTCACATGGCATGGCCTGTCCTGTGTATTCATATGGGGTGGGTGTGGAGAAAGAGCGAAAGAGGAGAGATCGATTGCTCTCATGTCTCTTCCTCTTATAAACACACCAGTCCTATTGGATTAGTGCTCCCTTCTTATAACCTTACTTAACATTAACTATTTCGTTCAAGGCCCTGTCTCCAAATATAGTCACATTGAAGGTTAGGGCTTCAATGTATTAATTTGACAATGGGGACACAATTCAGTCCATAATACCATCTTTGTGCTTTCTAATGACCCAGCACACTTCCGGGTATACCGCTTCTCTTTGCAGAGTTGGGGACTTCTCATCTTTCAGGTGTCACCTTAAAAGTCATTTTTCAGAGAAGCCTTCTTTCATCACTGCTAAGTAGATCCTTCTGTCTTACTTTCTATCATAAAATCCTGTTTATTTTCTTCCTGGCACTTTTAAATAATCAATAATAAGTTTTTTTCTTCCTTGTGTGTATTTGTTTATTCTGCTAAATAGAATATAAGTCCCATGAGGGCATAGGTCTTGTTTGTCTTGTTCACTTGGAATCCCCAGAACAAAAACTGGACATATATAGGCATTTATAAGAAATTACATAGTTTAGGCCTCGTGCAGTGGCTCACACCTCTAATCCCAGCACTATGGGAGGCTGAGGCGGGTGGATCACGATGTCAAGAGATCAAGACCACCTTGGCCAACATGGTGAAACCCTGTCTCTACCAAAAATACAAGAATTAGCTGGGCGTGGTGGCAGGTGCCTGTAATCCTAGCTACTTGGGAGACTGAGGCAGGAGAATTGCTTGAACCCGGGAAGTAGAGGTTCAGTGAGCCAAGATCATGCCACTGCACTCCAGCCTAGTGATAGAGCAAGACTCCATCTCAAAGGAATTACATAGTTTAAAGGTAAGAGCACAGGATGTAGGTTTGTATACTGACTCCACTGCCTATCAGCTTAGGCAGGATACTTTCTTCAGTACAAAATAGAAATAATGGCATTTACTTTATGGGATTATTGTGAAGATTAATGAATTAAGTATATAAACTGCTTAGAATAGTGCCTGGAATTTAATGGGCATTCAATAAATATTAGGCAGTACTTTTATTTTATTAGGCATCCAGTAAAATGAATCTGAATGGCGGAAGATGAGGCTGAAGTAGTAGGGTGAAGCCATAAAAAGGGGTGCTTGGATTTCATAGATGCAGAACCATCAAATATGGTGCATTTACTTTTTAGCCTATTGAGCTTCAGGTGAGTGTTTTGGGTCAGATGTGTAGGAGTCTAGAGCTCAGGTGAGATATCTGGAGTCTTTTGTTTTTGGGTGGTAGTTAGAACCCTGAGAATTCTTCAGAGGGGGAATAGTAGTAGACCAACAATAAATCCCTGGGGCATGTAGGTGTTGAAGGAGTGAGTAGAGGAAGAGGAGCCAA